GTGTCAGGGCGAGGGAGGGTCCGGAGGGCGTCGTGGCGAGGAGGCGGAGGGGCGGCGCGCGCCGGGGTGCCGCACTGGGCTCGCTCGGGCGCCAGTCGAGCACCACACCTGAGACGGCACACAGCGCTCCCCGGCCGCGTGTGTACCTGTGTGCGTTCCGGTGCCCATCCCAGCGAGTCCGCGTCAGTGTCGTCGGTGTAAGGCAGGAGCCGCGATGAGGCGCGCCCGGTGTGTGTAGCGCGTCCGAGTGAGCCGTTCCCGTCGCAGGAGAAGTGACACGTTGTGGTGAGCCGCAGAGAGCGCGGGTGTGGAAGTGTTTGTGTTTGTGGTGGCGGCGCAAGGGCGGCTGCGGCGGCTGCGGCGGCCCCATGCCGTGCGAGCCCCCCTGGTGGAGCTGCGGCGGCGACTGCCTTCCCCTCCACCTCCCGCTGCGCCGGCAGGCAGGGCCTCCCCCCCACACCACCACCACGGAGGCGGGAGCGTCGCCAGAGCCTCTCTGGGCTGACTCCGCCGCCAGCGACAGCGTCGGCAGCGGCGACTGCGGGCGGCGCGGGCGGGCTGCGGGCGGGTGTTGTGCGTGGGCGCGCGGGCTGGGCGGGGCGGCCTCGCCCTCCAAGCTATGCCCGGGCGGCGCCGCGCCCTGCTTCATGTTCATGTTCCGCTCCAGGAAGAACGCCCTGGTGAAGCGAGCCTGGAAGGCGCGGCGGGCGGGGCTCGGCGACGCCCGCGAGGACGTGCCGCAGGCGCTCAAGGGCGCGGCGCTGCAGCTTCTCCGCCGCCTGACGGAGGCGCAGCTGGACCTGCTCGTGACTGCGCTTGACTCCGGCGGCGTCGAGCCCGGCGAGTGCGTGCTCGTGCCGCGGGTGCCCGACGCGGGCGCGGGCGGCGCCGCCCTCGCGCCGCACCTCCTCATGGTCAGGGTGTGGCGCTGGCCCGACCTGCACGACGCCCCCGGCCCCCACGGCAGCGCGCCCCTTCGCCGCCTGCCCTGCTGCGCCGCCCGCAACGACCACGTCTACGTGTGTGCCAACCCCTACCACTGGGCCCGAGTCCTCCAAACAGGTAGGCGCCGGGGCACGGGCGGGAGGGGGAGGGGGAGGGAGGGGCGTATGGGAACGGGGGCGGGAGGGGGGCGGGGGCGGAAGCTGCACGTGCACTGGACCGACGGGACGTGCGGCCGTGCACCCTCCCCTCCCTCCCCCGCCCGGCCCGCCACAGGTGACGGCGCTCGCCCACACCTGTTTTCGCCGAGGAACAGGTGTCACGCGCCGGCAACAACGCCGGCCAGTCCGCGGCTCTCGGGGGCGCGGCGAGGGAAGTCGGGCGGCGGGACGGGAGAGAGAGAGAGAGAGAGAGAGAGAGAGAGAGAGAGAGAGAGAGAGAGAGAGAGAGAGAGAGAGAGAGAGAGAGAGAGAGAGAGAGAGAGAGAGAGAGAGAGACAGACAGAGACAGACAGACAGACAGACAGACAGATAGAAAGACACAGACAACAGGGAAAGAGAGAAAGAGAGAGATAAGAAAGATTGAGTATTATAAGAGAGAGACAGATGTAGACACAGACCAACAGACAGACAGATGAGACACAGCCAGACAGACAAGGAAAAGAGAGAGAGAGATTAGAAAAAAATAGAAAGAGTAAGAATGAGAGAGAGATAGAGAGAGAGAAATAAAACCACATTCTTACATTTTCTCGTCTGCTCGAACGAATGCACAGTAGGTGTGTCTCCTAAAGGGGTGGGGGGAGGGAGGGGGGCGTAAGACGGCACCAGGTAGCCCCATAGTCTCATTGGCGCCACCGACTGGCCTCATGCAGCCACATGCCACATAACAGTTCCCGGACAAGCTAAAAATATTTGTGAGAAAGTGAGTGAGTGAGTGAGTGGTGAGTGAGTGGGTGGGTGGGTGGATGTAGGTGGTGGGTGAGAGTGGGTGGGTGGGTGAGTGAATGGGTGATGGGTGGGTGAGTGAGGGTGGGTGGGTGAGTGGGTGGGTGGGTGAGTGAGTGAGTGAATTGGGTGGGTGGTTGGGTGAGTGGTGGGTGGGAGTGGTGAGTGAGTGGTGAGTGATTGGGTGGGTGAGTGAGTGAGTGAGTGAGATGAGTGATGGTGGGTGAGTGAGTGAGTGAGTGTGAGTGAGCTGTGTGTGTGTGTGTGTGTGTGTGTGTGTGTGTGTGTGTGTGTGTGTGTGTGTGCGTGCGTGCGTGCGTGTGTGCGTGCGTGCGTGCGTGTGCCTATTTTCCCAATATGTGTAAACTGTATATTTATCTACACTTAACGATGATGTAATGTTAATAGGATTAGTGAATGTTTATTTATATCCTTTCTTTTGCAATCTTTTCTCAACATATTTACGTTTTTGTTTGTTTCTTTACATAAAATGTATTCTATTTTGTTGTATCTCGTATCCCCCTAGCGGCAAGAGAAGGGGTCACGAACCTACATTTAATTTGCATATTCAACCGCATTTCAAGTGTTTTTTTTTTATTATGTTTGTTTAATATTCCTGCATGTCGAGAAGATGATATAAAGAAGATGACACGTGGGAATCTTTTTACGACATCATTCACTCTGATTTAATTTTAATAAGTGGCATTAGAAGAAAACGGAGAAATTGTTGATATTGTTTTTTTTTCTTTAATATATTTTTTGGCGGGTATTTTTTTATTTTCTTTTTATTGTTGACTTTTTTTTTTAAGATATATTTGGCGGGTGTTTTTTTTATTGTCTCTTTTATGTAATATTTTGCGAACGATGGAATGGGTTAAAAGAGAGAAGAAGAGGAAGAAGAGATTGAGGGAACTGCTAAGGGAGAAAAGGGAATGGGAGAGGAAGAACAATTGCGAAAGAAGGAAGGAAGATAAGGAGAGAGAGAAAGAACAAGATAAAGTATCATAAAGTGACACAGATACAGGAAATGAAAGGAGGAAGGGAGAGAAGATAAATAATCGAGGAAGGGGCAGAGGGAGAGAAAAAAAAAAGAAAAATAGATAAGAAAGAGAAGGAAAGAGAGATAATGATGAGAGGTAGAGAAAGAGACAGAAATAAAAACAAGAAAGAAAGAGAGATAATTAAGAAAGGCAGAGAGAAAGAGAGTAAGTAAGGAAGAGAGAGAGAGAGTGAGTAAGTAAGAGAGAGAGAGAGAGTGAGTGAGTGAGTAAGAGAGAGAGAGTGAGTAAGTGAGTAAGTAAGTAAGTAAGTAAGTAAGTAAGTAGAGAGAGAGAGAGAGAGAGAGAGAGAGAGAGAGAGAGAGAAAGAAAGAGAGAAAGAGAGAGAGAGAGAAAAAAAGAAAGAAAAAAAGAAAGAGAAAGAAAGAGAGAGAGGGAAATAAAGAGAAAGAGAGACCTATTCCAAAGTCTCTGCTTAATAAACTCATCCTTTCTTCCTCGGTCAATAATCCATATTTATCCGCTTCCATAACTTAACCTGATTTGCATATGCCCATAAACATCATCTTTTCCACGAGGGTTTTTGCGCTCTGATTCTGTACGCTTATCTGGCTTTATTTTCTTCGCTGTTAAAGTCGGATGTTTGTCTGTCTGTCTGTCTGTCTGTATGGATGGTGATGAATGCGTATGTGTCTGTATGTGTCTGTGTTTGTCTATCTTGTCTCTCTTGTCTCTCTCTCTTTGTCTCTCTCCTCTCTCTCTCTCTCTCTCTCTCTCTCTCTTCTCTCTCTCTCTCTCTCTCTCTCTCTCTCTCTCTCTCTCTCTCTCTCTCTCTCTCTCCTCTCTCTCTCTCTCTCTCTCTCTGGCTGTCTATTTATTTATCTATCTGCGTTATCTATCATTGGAAGGAGGGAGAAAGAGAAAGACGGAGAACGAAGGAGAAGAGAAAGAGAGAAGACAGGAACAAAGTTAGGAGAGAGAGAGAGGAAGACAGAGGACGAATGAGAAGAGAAAGGGGAGACAAAGAAAGAAGGAGAAGAGAAAGTCAGAGAACGAAAGAAAGAGAACGAAGGAGAGAGAGAAAGATAGAGAAAGAAGGAAGGAGAGAGAGAAAGTCAGAGAACGAAATACATAAAGAAAGAGAAGTACAAGGAGAACGAAGGAGAGAGAAAAAGACAGGACAAAGAAGAAGTGAAAGGAGAGAGAGAAAGACAGAGAAAGAAGGAAGGAGAGAGAACAAAAATCAGAGAACGAAAGGCAGAGAACAAGGAGAGCGAAGGAGAATGAGAAGAGAAAGGAGAGAGAGAAAGACAGAGAAAGAAGGAACGAGAGAGAGAGAATGTCAGAGAACGAAAGAGATGAACAGGGAGAACGAAGGAGAAGAGAAAGGAGAGAGAGAAAGTCAGAGAACGAAAGACAAGAGAACGAAAGAGAAGTATAAGTAGAACGAAGGAGAAGAGAAAGGAGATGAGGAGAGAGAGAAAGTCAGAGATCGAAAATCAGAGAACGAAAATCAGAAAACGAAAGGCAGAGAACGAAGGAGAAGGAGAAGAGAAAGGAGACGAGGAGAGAAGGAAGGAAGGAGGGCCAGTTGCCGAGGAGCGGGCGCGGGCCAGTAGCTCGGCCTTCGCGTTGACTTGATAGTGATCTGATAGTGTTGTTGATGGTGAGCAGGCGGCTGTTGGTAGGGAGCGGGGAGGGGGGGGTGGGAGGGATGGTGCGGGAGGGAGGATGGGGAGGATGTTGGGGAGGGGGGGGTGGAGGCGGAGAGGGGAGGGGGAGGGAGGGGAGGGAGGATGTTGGAGAGGAGCGGGAGAGGGGTGGGAGGGAGAAGGATGTTGGAGAGGTGGAGGAGGGTGAGGGAGGGAGCGGGAGTAAGGGATGGGTAGAAGGAGGAAGTTGGAAGAGGTTGGAGGGAGGAGGGTGGTGGATGGAAGGGTGGGGGAGAGGGGGGGGAGGAGGCGAGTGGGGAGGGTGGAGGGGGGAGGGGAAGGGGGTGGGGAGGGGAGGGAGTTTGGAGGGGGGTTGAGAGGCGAGAGGGAGGGGAAAATATCGGAGAGGAAGGATAGGGGTTGGGAGAAGAGGAAGGTAAAGGGGGGAGGGTTATAGAGGGGAT